AGATAGATAGATAGATAGATAGATAGATAGATAGATAGATAGATAGATAGATATTATTTTATTAAAGATTTTTTTTTTAAAAAAAAGAAAATAAAAAGTATTTTTTATTTCTCTCCTAAAACATAGGAGAGAAAAAAAGAAAAAGAAAGAAACCAAAGAAAGAGCTAAAAGTGCAAGAAAAGAAAAAAAGGAAAAGAAAAATAGAAAGGAAAGGAAAAAGATACAAAGAAGTGGCTTCCAATCTTTTTTACAGCAATTGTAATTACAATTAGAGAGGCACTTGTATAGTGAGTTGGGCAGCATAAGTAAATTTGAAAAATAAACAAACAAACAAACAAAAATATATTTACCTCTTACTCTAAGGTTACAACATGACTCTCTTCTTTCTATAACCTGTCCTGTCTAATCATCAAAACCATAAATTGTAAGTTTATTTTTTTCTGTTTCATGCAAAAAGTCTATAAGGGATTTCCAGTCAGTAATAAATGTAGGTATTGTCTTTTCTCCGATCAAAGAAGTCAATTTAGCCATCTCAGCACGTTCCATCATTTTCAGCAACCATTCCTCCATTGTAGGTAATGCCAAATCTTTCCATCTTTCTGCGTACAATAATCTCCCTGCAGCTCTCATGTACAAAAACAGAGTTCCATGACTTTTTTTCCAACTGTTTATCTCTCAGTCCCAACCTATCTATTTTAGTCTAGTGCATTTGTTGGTTTTAAGATTAATAAACAAAAGACAAAGACATTAACAGAAAATATGAAGACACAAGATCCAATAGAATTCTGTTTCAAATGTCAATAAAAGTTTACACATTTTAGCAGTTACATGCTCAACATTTGTACACAGTTCTATTTCAAACTCAGTCTTAGAATGTTCAAAAACAAAACTTCTTTTGTCTACTTTAAATCTTTCCAATAATTGCAAATAAGAGAACCATTGACAATTATCCCTCTGTCACCAGTTCTTCTCTTGATTTTATTTTACATTCCCCTTGACAAAATTCACGGGAAGTGAGCCATTTCTGTTTACTTATTATTTCTCATCTACAAAATGCTTCTTGTGCTGAGAGCCACAAAGGTGTTTTCAGGCACAACCTGAGTTTGTACTGTATATATTCCATATTCCCAATAAGGCACGTCTAACATAATGATTTTTAAAATCCACTTTAACCTTGGTTTTGTCATACCACAAATATCCATGCCACCCAAATCTCAGATTATGTTCTTCTAACTCCAAAAGCCTTCTATTTCTCAGCAAGATCTACTCTTTCATCCAGACCAAACAGCAAGCTGAAAAATGCAATTTCAAATCAGGTAGACCCAATCCTCCTCTTTCCTCTGCATCTTGTAACACCTTATATTTAATTTGTGGTTTCTTCCCCTGCTACACAAATTTAGATATATCCTTCTACTACAGTACATCAGTTGTCCAATTAGGTATTGTCCAAAACAAAAACATCATTCTAGGTAAGGCAGTCATTTTTATCACAGAAATTTTCCCCAACAATGACAATTGTAATGTCTCCCATCTTGACATATCTTTTTTTTTTAATTTCACTCCATGTCTTAACATAGTTATTTTCAAATAACATACAATTCATATTGGTCATAATGATACCCAGATATTTTCCCTTCTTCTCAATTTTAAAACCTATTTTATACCTTCTGCTCCCTTTTCCTGACACTTTCCTGACACTTTAACAGACTATTTTCAGTGTTGTGCGTCAGATATGGCTAAATTCCAACTCCCCAGTTACATCAGGCCCTTTTTATGCATCACTGAAACAGGATCTAAACCCTACTTGGAAAAGAATTGTTCCCCGTTCCCCACAGTTTTCATATACATCAATATATATATCTCACCTGCGGGATTTTATAAAGAGTTATTATATTTGACATGAACAATGAGATGTCAGCACCAAGTCCTCCAATGATAGCCACAATGAGATTCTCCTTGATATCACATCTGTAGTTGGGGATCAATTTATCTGCTCGGAACAGCAGTTCCAAAGTGGAACGGTAAGTCAGCCGGGCATCAAAATAGTTGTCGCAGATGAAAAATCCCAGTGTGATATTAGACAGGAGTTTTGGATTTGTGTTGATCTCTTTCACAGCAAATGCCAAAGTCAGGGAATGCTGGTACATCTTTAAAACGGCCCTGAAAACATAACTGAGGGATAAGTGAGATATGGAGAAGCTACAAAGCTGATCCAGGACAGACAAAGGTGCTAGGAGAGAGACTGGGGCAAGCAATATGAACCTTGCAAATTATGATAGGCACCAGATATAAAAACTGATGAGGAACATTTGTTGCATCATGAAACAGAGGTCTACAACTGGACTAACTTGCAGGAAAATATGATGTGCAATTAAATTGTAGAGCTAAAGTGCAGGCGGATTATCATCATCATCATCATCATCATCATCATCATCATCACTAATGTAAGGTCCAGTTGAAGCCTGATTGAATTATTTGAGTTTATTCTTATAATGCATTATTTGTTCCTGCTAAATCTTGCCACTTGTTCTCTCTTCTCCACATATAATCTTCATTATATTGATTTGCCATTCTTGCAATCCTCATATGACTGATGATAGATAGATAGATAGATAGATAGATAGATAG